CCATACACAACTGTAGGCCAGATCAACAAGGGGGTGGCACAGCTATGTACTACTCAGACCAACTAGAATGTATCACTAATATTTTGCACAAGGGATGAACATGGGAATAATAGTAGCTAAATTCCAAATCCAAATTTCCTACAAAAACCTCTCACATTGATAAACATCTACAGAGTTCCACAGTCAAAAATTGCCGATTAGTCAAAACCTAGGAAGTATGATAACTGATGCATGCAAAGAACAAAGATCACTTACTACTCTCAGGTGACTTTAATATAAATCTCCTGCAAGACCAGGGCCCACACGTTTCTGAATTCACAACACAATGAGTAACTGCATGTTGCTAAACCCAAAAGTAACAAAACCTACAAGTTACAGAGACTAGTGTTTCCCTACTTGAAACCACATCTGGACCAACACCATATCTCCTTTAAAATCAGGCATAATTACAGATAATACCACAGACCACTACCCTACTTTCCTCATAACTCTTGGTAAATTACCCAAGACACTACTAAAGTCACCTTCAGACTCACAATGAGGCAGCCATTAATAACTTCACAACAGCAGTAACAAACATTGACTGGCACACTGAGCTAGAAATCTATACAGATATTGACGAATGATAATTAATATGTTCTAAAAAAGACCCAATACCTCTATAACAAGCACTGCCCTAAAAAACTAAACAGATGACAGCTAAGAGACTGAACAGTCCCTGGCTAACACCAAGCATTCTCAAATCCATAAATACAAAACACCGATATGAAAAACAGTACAGAATGGGTCACATAACTAGAGACCAAACAAAACGTTACTCGTCAATCCTAACCAGCCTGATAAGAAGGGCAAAAAAACTATTATGAGAACAGATTATCCAACTTACGAGGCGATATAAAAAAGACCTGGAAAACCCTATCAGAAATTCTAGGAACAAAAAAGATATCACGAAATAGAGAAATAAAATTAGCAAAATCAGATGAGCCCAAACTCCCACCAACAGAAACAGCAAACAGACTCAATGATTTCTTCTCCACTATAGGATAAAACCTTGCCAATAAAATCCCAAGCTCAGATACCCCACCAAATGACTACCTCATTGGCAACTACCCGAACACACTGTTCCTAGCTCCGACTAACCCATACGAAGTCTCCCTTATTATCAACGCACTAAAAAACAAGGCAGGAGATTTAAATGCCTTACCACCCTTTATATACAAAAAAGTGTCAAGTTCTATCACCAATCATTGCAGCACTCTTTAACAAATCCATTGAATCCTCCACCTTCCCTACAGTTCTCAAAATAGCAAGGGTCACCCCGATCCATAAAGGAGGAGACCAAACAGAGTTGAATAACTATAGGCCAATATCCAACTTACACCCGCTCTCAAAAATCTTCGAAAAATTAATTCATAAACGAATCTACTCCTACCTCATCTCCCAAAACATACTCAACCCCTGCCAATTTGGATTCAGGCCTAATAAAAATACTAATAATGCTATTATACACATGCTAGAACATATATACACTGCAATAGAGAAAAAAAGTCCCACTGGGGATCTTCATTGACTTACGTAAAGCTTTCGATACAGTTGACCATGACTTGCTCCACATAAAATTGTCACACTATGGTATAAGAGGGCACTCCCTCAACTACCTCAAGTCATACCTCAGCAACAGAAGCCAATATGTGTACGCAAATGGGGCAAACTCTTCCGCACAACCAATTACAGTTGGTGTCCCACAGGCAAGTGTCCTTGGCCCTCTTCTCTTTCTCCTATACATAAATGACCTACCAAATGCTTCGCAATTACTCAAACCCACACTATTTGCAGATGACACTACATACATCTTCTCTCACCCGAGCCCAGTCACGCTAGCCAATACTGTAAATACCGAATTACAGAAAATATCTACCTGGATGAGGACCAACAAACTTACACTAAACATTGACAAAACCTACTTCATTCAGTTTGGTAACAGAGCTACAGATGTCCCTCTTAACATAATGATAAACAGATCACCTATCACAAAGCTAACAGAGGGAAAATTCTTAGGAATCCATCTTGATAATAGACTCAAATTTCATACACATATACAACAAATTTCTAAGAAAATTTCCAAGACCGTAGGCATACTATCGAAGATACGGTACTATGTTCCACAGTCAGCCCTCCTGGCCCTATATCACTCTCTTATTTACCCCTGTCTCACCTATGGAATTTGTGCATGGGGCTCAACAACAATTAACCATCTCAGACCAATAATTACCAAACAAAAGGCTGCAGTCAGAATGATAAATTCCCACTACAGGCAGCACACTCCACCAATATTCAAAACACTAAACCTACTCACCATACAAAACATCCATACTTATTACTGCACCTACTACATACATAGAACACTTAACCCTGATATTAACCCTCCCCTCAAACATCTTGCCAACCTCAACAGAACATGACCATAACACAAGGCACAGATCACTCTTTGATGTTCCTCGTGTCCATCTCACGCTATGCAAAAACTCAATGCACATAAAAGGCCCTAAGATCTGGAATTCATTACCTGTAAATATAAAAGAAACACTGTTTATAAATTCAAGTCTCTTCTCAAAGATCACTTACTCACCCAAAACTAAATAAATACTGAATAACTGAACCTTATAAATTGTATATCTTAAATATTTCTCACAATTATATCACATAAATGTTAAACCTAAGACCCAATCTCACTTTTGTTATTTTTTAAATACACTACTTAACAGAATACTCCATTCTACTTAATGTACAGCAATGCCTGCAACCATATGACCTGTCTTTGTAATACTCATTTGTGATTTATTGTTATCTGTTTACAATAATGTTTTATCACTGATTACATCATTACTTAGTTAATCTTAAGTTAATTTTAAGCCTGCCCGTAATGCTATGCATACAAGTGGCTTTGGCATGCTGCTCTTACCTGTATTTTTTTTGTACCTCTGTATGTATGCTCAAATTACTAAATAAATAAATAAATAAATAAAAAGAGGCAACAGGGTTATGTCGGCATATCCGAAGTGTCCACTAGTGCCGGGATTGATCCCAGGTGCCTCAGATGTGAGCTTATGACGTTACCACTTCAACCTCAAGACAATGAAAGATGCCATAAATGCTGTGCATTCTATGAGTTTTACAATCATTGTATATTTTTGTATATGAAGTGATTTAAATAAAGAATCTGAATCTGATGGAACCCCAGTGAAAGCAAGTGAAGGACCCCAATGAAAGCAAGTGAAGGACCCCAATGAAAGCAAGTCAAGGACCCAATGAAAGCAAGTGAAGGACCCAATGAAAGCAAGTGAAGGACCCAATGAAAGCAAGTCAAGGACCCCAATGAAAGCAAGTCAAGGACCCCAATGAAAGCAAGTCAAGGACCCCAATGAAAGCAAGTCAAGGACCCCAATGAAAGCAAGTTAAGGACCCCAATGAAAGCAAGTTAAGGACACCAATGAAAGCAAGTCAAGGGCCCCAATGAAAGCAAGTCAAGGACCCCAATGAAAGCAAGTCAAGGACCCCAATGAAAGCAAGTCAAGGACCCCAGTGAAAGCAAGTGAAGGACCCCAGTGAAAGCAAGTCAAGGACCCCAATGAAAGCAAGTCAAGGACCCCAATGAAAGCAAGTCAAGGACCCAATGAAAGCAAGTGAAGGACCCAATGAAAGCAAGTGAAGGACCCCAGTGAAAGCAAGTCAAGGACCCCAGTGAAAGCAAGTCAAAGACCCCAATGAAAGCAAGTCAAGGACCCCAATGAAAGCAAGTCAAGGACCCCAATGAAAGCAAGCCAAGGACCCCAATGAAAGCAAGTCAAGGACCCCAATGAAAGCAAGTCAAGGACCCCAATGAAAGCAAGTCAAGGACCCCAATGAAAGCAAGTGAAGGACACCAATGAAAGCAAGTCAAGGACACCAATGAAAGCAAGTCAAGGACACCAATGAAAACAAGTCAAGGACCCCAATGAAAGCAAGTGAAGGACGCCAATGAAAGCAAGTGAAGGACACCAATAAAAGCAAGTGAAGGACACCAATAAAAGCAAGTGAAGGACGCCAATAAAAGCAAGTGAAGGACGCCAATAAAAGCAAGTGAAGGACGCCAATAAAAGTAAGTGAAGGACGCCAATAAAAGCAAGTGAAGGACACCAATAAAAGTAAGTGAAGGACACCAATAAAAGCAAGTGAAGGACACCAATAAAGGCAAGTGAAGGACGCCAATAAAGGCAAGTGAAGGACACCAATAAAAGCAAGTGAAGGACGCCAATAAAGGCAAGTGAAGGACACCAATAAAAGCAAGTGAAGGACACCAATAAAAGCAAGTGAAGGACGCCAATAAAGGCAAGTGAAGGACGCCAATAAAAGTAAGTGAAGGACACCAATAAAAGCAAGTGAAGGACGCCAATAAAGGCAAGTGAAGGACACCAATAAAAGCAAGTGAAGGACGCCAATAAAGGCAAGTGAAGGACGCCAATAAAAGCAAGTGAAGGACACCAATAAAAGCAAGTGAAGGACACCAATAAAAGCAAGTGAAGGACGCCAATAAAGGCAAGTGAGGACGCCAATAAAAGTAAGTGAAGGACACCAATAAAAGCAAGTGAAGGACACCAATAAAAGCAAGTGAAGGACGCCAATAAAGGCAAGTGAAGGACACCAATAAAAGCAAGTGAAGGACGCCAATAAAGGCAAGTGAAGGACGCCAATAAAAGCAAGTGAAGGACACAATAAAAGCAAGGAAGGACACCAATAAAAGCAAGTGAAGGACGCCAATAAAAGCAAGTGAAGGACACCAATAAAAGCAAGTGAAGGACACCAATAAAAGCAAGTGAAGGACGCCAATAAAAGCAAGTGAAGGACGCCAGAAGTAACAAGTCACAGACTCTGGGTTATCCTTGGTAATTTACATATATATCATCCTGCAAGACAAATATAATATTAGTATAAGTGTGGGTAAATCAAGTTAGTTATCTGACCTGTCATGGAAGTATTTACACAGCAGCCAGACAATAATGGGTAGATTATCTTTCTCATTATAAGTGGGCAGCAACACTGAGTACTTGTCACCAGCCATGATACAACACAGTATTGACCACAGCTAATATGTCTTCAACACTTGTACTATACTCTCTTAACACTGATGACAGGTAATGAGTCGTGTGTCAAGACGTGTGTCAAGACGTGTGTCACGACGTCACTGCTGTGTTGTCACCTCTGACGTCACAATATACTAAGTATCTACACTTGTCTAATTAACTTCATTTACCTTCACGTATACATTAATACACCTATACAAATTATCATACACAGTAACATATGTGTAAATAACCCAGGATAACTCCCTGAAAAAAGTCAGTCAAAGTGACTTTCTATTGGGTCATTTTTTTTTTTCCAGTGTTGTGTTGAAGATATATATAATACACTGGGTAAGGGATTATAACAAATATTACTAACTATTAACAAAGTTTTAAGCAAGCATAATCCAACGGATTAGGTTTTGCCACCTAAGTGGCTAGTTTATTGTGCACCCCATATTGTGCACCCCATATTGTGCACCCATATTGTACACCCCATATTGTACACCCCATATTGTACACCCCATATTGTACAACCCATATTGTGCACCCCATATTGTGCAACCCGTATTGTGCACCCCATATTGTGCAACCCGTATTGTGCACCCCATATTGTACACCCCATATTGTGAACTCCATATTGTACACCCCATATTGAGCACCCCATATTGTGCAACCCATATTGTGCACCCCATATTGTACACCCCATATTGTGAACCCCATATTGTACACCCCATATTGTGCACCCCATATTGTACACCCCATATTGTGAACCCCATATTGTACACCCCATATTGTGAACCCCATATTGTACACCCCATATTGTGCACCCCATATTGTACACCCCATATTGTACACCCCATATTGTGCACCCCATATTGTGCAACCCATATTGTGCACCCCATATTGTACACCCCATATTGTGAACCCCATATTGTACACCCCATATTGTACACCCCATATTGTACACCCCATATTGTGCACCCCATATTGTGCACCCCATATTGTACACCCCATATTGTGCACCCCATGTTGTGAACCCCATATTGTGCACCCCATATTGTGAACCCCATATTGTACACCCCATATTGTACACCCCATATTGTGCACCCCATATTGTACACCCCATATTGTACATCCCATATTGTACACCCTATATTGTGCACCCCATATTGTACACCCCATATTGTGCACCCCATATCCATCCTGTGGACGGTAGCGCGAGAGCATATGGATACACAGAAGGCCTAGGAACTAGGCCCCAAAGGGTTAACAGGAATACATATGGATTTATATCTACATATCTGTAGTTCACTTATCGTTAACAAGCAAATTTAGGAAATTTGCTTAGTATATCTGGTATCTTATTTTCATTAATAAGATATCTTGACATGTCACATAGGTTATTATACTGTCTGTCTCTGTATCTCAATAAGTGGACAATTAAGCACATAGTGTTCAGGACAGTGACCATATGCCTGATCACATAATTTATATTTAGTTTGATCATCATCTGTGTGTCTGCCAAACTGCCAGAAGTACTTGTAACCAAGCCTAAGCCTGGCCACTACAACATCAGTCAGTGTTCACATTGCAAGTTGCTCCATAAACATACTTATCTACGTTCATGTTATCATAGTGGGTTATAGATCTACTCAGGCTTCTAACTGCATTCCTATAACAATCATTTTCATTATTTACTTCTCTCCTAATATTATTCCTAATGCTAGACACAGACATACCAAAGTTATATTCAACATTCTCCTTCTGGTACTCTTCTTGGCTAACATATCAACTTTATCATGAAGGAGTAATCCATGTGTGATGGGTTCCACAGCAACTGTACATTAATTCCTTTGTCCCGGATTTTGAGTATCTATACCTGGCTTCTCCAATAGCATGTTGTTGGAGTCATTAATGAGTTAAGGCCTTCAATGATGACATAGAATCAGTTAATGATGATTGAGTCAAGCTCAGTGTTTTAAGTTAGCTTAGCGCCTTTAGGATTGCAAATAATTCATTTTTGCAATCACGCAAACGTAATAACCATTTTTACGGATTCATTCCTTTGTAGTTGTGATTCATTACCTTTATACCTAGTTCACATAAAAACCTTCCCGCCCCCCTGCCCCATTACTACCCTGAAAACTGAAATCCTTAGGCTTATATTTGCAGACCCCCCGAGTCAATTTTTTTAAATTGTGAGTTCATTACCTTTGTAAATTTGAGCATACCTTTTGTAAATTTGTAGTTCTTTAACCTCTGTAACTTCTCATTATCTAACTTTGGAGCCAGCCCCTGGACCTTTAAATGTCCCCTCTGTAATTTTTTTGACTCCCGCCCAGGATGGGTATGGGGCAAATAAACTTTTAAACAAACATATTAAACTAACAGCCCGTTTTTTAATTCTTTGCCTAGTTTAACAAGTTTATTATCGTTTTAACTAGGGAGGGCAAAAGACAGATGCACCCCTGCCAAAGATCCTGTTTAATCACATTAATAAAATTTACCCCCATTACACCAAAACCGACAAAATTTTCTTCCGGACCCCCTTTAACTATTTTAAAAAAATACTCAATGGCCGGGAGGAACTTGCATTTGGGAAAATTTTTAAATAACACACTTCCATGGAGGAGTGGAAATCCCTCTTTTTTGTCTACAGTGATAAGTTCATGCGGTTATAAAACTTAATGAAAAATTGCACGTTTTCACAACCCAAACCCAACAAAAGTAAATGACATAGTTTAGTTCCGGGGAAATTTTGGATTCACAATTAATTAAATTTATTTTTTTTTTTTTCGGCATAATACACATTGTACAAACAAATATGTTAACACGGTGCTTTGTAATGTTTTTTAATTTTTATTTTTATTCTGTGGATTCCCCAAGTAGATTCGGGGCCCCCTTATTATCTTATGTTATGTCAATGACAGCCATCATTGTAAAGTCAAACCCCTACTTATGCAGGGACAGTGCCCTGTTAGTGTCGGGAAAAACCCCAAAGATATCTAATGCTTTAACACTGAACTGGAGTCCCCGCGCAAATGGTTTTAACAACAAACTATCATTAACTCGGGAAAACGAAAACCTTCTCTTTGGCAGAAACATAAACTGAAAGGGGAAATAATTTTTTAAAGTCCAGTGTATTGGGGGCCCCTCACTTTTGGGTTTTATCAAAAAATATCTGGGAATCCCCCCTTTACCCCCCCATGTCAGGAGAATTTTTAGGGAAAGTGAGTAAAGAAAGCAATGCCAGACTGAAGTTTTCCCGTATAGACAAGCACTGTCTACCCACTGAATCGCAGGCCCTATTCTAGCCCTTATACAATCCATTGGGTTACGCTTGCTCTTTGTAGATAGACTGCAAATCCCCCCGAACAAAATTGAAGATTCCCTGGGGCTGGGTCAAGAAGACGCAGGCCAGGTAATTACAGAGTTGGGTATGCTGAATGTTTTAAGACGAGTAAACAACTGAAGCTAAATCAGTTTATAAATGCCACAAACAGTGTCCGAATTCTTGCGTCAATTTTGTCAAGGTTGGGACCAAGGGAATCATGTTACAGGGGAGAGAGCACAATTTGTAGTACCCACAGTCAGTGGCCAGGCTTCAAAAACCTTTTTGTACAGCAATAAAGGAATGGGAAAAGCTTCCCTGGGCATTCAAACCCCGTCATATCATGAACCAGTTTAAAAAAAGTGCCAAAAGGGGTTTGATGAATTAGCTACAGAAAAGGGGGGGGAATGATTTTTATTTTTTAGCTAACTACGTGTAAATTTTTCCGATTCCTAGTAAAGACCCTCGTTGTAAAATCTTTTTAGATGATAAAGATTTATCTTTTTATAGAATAATAAGAAATTTATAATCTTTTATTATAAAAATAAAAAAGGAAAAAAACCCCAATGGGAAAAAAGTCACTCTGCTACTTTTTGGGTTTTCCCAGGTTTTCTAA